AAAAAACATTTCTGCCTTAGTAGTCGTTATCGAGCAATAATAAATCCGATGTCAAGTTCGTTGCGGCACCAGAAGCTCGAACCTACTATAGTTTGGTTAGACACCTACAAATTACGGTAACAACTCTTCATATTTCTGAAATCAACCGACAAAGCAAGGAACCTGTGGTGCCGTGGTAGAATATTGAACTCAATGACCAAAACTCCCGGGTTCAAATCTCGGGGATTCCAAACTTGAGATTGGGTATGACTGGCTGATGACGGCTAACTAGCCATAAATAGCCATTCCGATTTCTCTTTGTTTTTTTGGATGCATTGAATCATACTAAGGCTTAATTATTCGGTGCACCGGAAGACCGAACCCATATAGCACACTACCCACTGCGACACGGACTCGTTGTATTGCAAGTTACGGTTGGAAATATTAACAATAGGAAATTTGCGTTGACAGATTGCTATGCTATTTCACTCCTCCCGTTTTACATTGTGGATCGATCTGGACCTCAGCCAGCATCCGCTCAAGTGCTTGCTGAATAAAGGCATAAACATATTTACCACAATGATAAGGGAGACGGAAATGGTGACTCCCAGCATACAGACTTTCATCAGTCAGAGATGCAGGTTTGAGCGTAAGGTTAGGTTTACGTAAGGAAAAATTTGTGGTTAAATTTTGATTTTGTGTCAGAGTATGGGTCTATATCATCTACGGCTTATTCCGCACAAGGTCGTCTATATCCCTGCCGGGGTGGGTTATTACTAAACGTCTTGGACAATATCCTTAATTCTTCTTTAAGTACTGACTTCGTACTAGAATAATTTTAATTTGCAAGCATTAGCTTTTAACTTCACCTCTGCACCCCAGAATAGTGGCTTAACTACCAAAATATCCAAACACTGCCATACAACCTGAAATCGTAGGAACTGTGGTTGACTATTGTCAGACGAGTTTACTAGAAATGACGGATATGGCCAGCGCACGTGACTTTTCATTAAATACCGGTAGCGGCCGAAAGGCAAACACCCGATAGGGCAGATGTCATTTAGGATTGAACAAAACATATATATGTCTGTTTTTTTTCAGAATTTAAACCAAGAATATCATAATAGCAATTAAGTGAAACTGAAAATGGACACACAAAGAAGTAACAACAGTCTGCAAACGTAAATGACAACAAAAAGGCACGATCTGCCTTGGTGACCGTCCGAAATTATTTTTTGTACACAACAACTAAAATGGCATCAATCAACGTTGCAAGAATGAAACCCATGTTTTTCATGGTGTAGAAGACGAGCTGAAAGTTAATATACTCATAGGAATAATACAGTTTGAGCCGCAGAAATAAAAAGGGTACGTCCAGCAGCATGAGGGGACAAATTATTTCCGATAATTGGCTGCAACGATTGCGACCGTGGCTTCCTTTGGTCCTGCTGAAACAAAGCTGCAGTTGACTGATATGTAACTGGCAAAGTATGCTCGCCGTCAAGCCGGTTTTCCGACAGAGGTCCTTATCTTGCATGTACTGCACAAGCTCAAGCATGTCAGCAGCGTGGCAGACTTGGACGAACAGCCAATCAGCGAGGTTACCGACGTTGATAGACTTATGCGACACCACGCAACGGCCGAAGACTACACAAAACACATATGTTTGCTCCAACTTGTAAAGGGACATTTTCGGTCCATATGGGGTTTCCTTGTAACCCATTACATACTTCTAGATGAGCAACATCATCGAACACAAGTATGGTGATAGTGGGGAATCGAAAAGCCAATAGAATTTAGCATGCGTTTTTCAGGATGCAGTTCAGAAGAAGGGGAAGTGATCACTGGGACAATATTTTTATTGTCCTGACGTTTCGGATGCCATCGAGAATCCTTACTAATAGTTAATCGTAGAAAAGTCTGAGACATGCATAGATAAGTGCGATACATGCACAGATTGCTTGGTATTTATAGTTAGTAGTGGTCACCCGCATGCGCGCTATAATTGTCAGTTCCTGTAGCCACTGTCTGAGGTCCTAATTGCTACCTCGCAAGAGATAACAACCACGTGAGCCGCGACCTGCTCGAGTCATTTTTCTCTGGCCCGAGCCCATCAACAAGCGCAACGAATTGGCGTGCCCATACGGTGTACTGAGAAGTTTTCCGAGTAAGGGAATCAGTCACATGGGAAGGGCCGGGCGCAGCAATAACTCTGACGACAGCGGACATAATTGTCGCGCAATTATCAAACCCGCATCCGATGCGGACAAGACCACTGTGACAATTAATGAGCCATCACCGCATTAATTAAGACCTCAAGCGGTGGCTACAGGAACTGATAATTATACAGTAGTCGCCGGCTATTAAGCCCACCTCGGGCCCA